TTTGTAATTAATAAATCACTATAAATAATAGTTATTAATAATTACACATATGAGAATTGCTTTCTTTTATTTTAATATAATTATAAATTTATATTAAGTAAAAATATAGAGTACAAACACGATCTACCATATTTCATGTACAATTTTTATGATAATTTAAATCTAATAATTTTAAAATTAAAATCACTGAGAAGGTAAATTATATTACGAAATTAAATTTTGACAATCACATGTGGTTTATTTTGTTTATTATACGTATATTCTAAAGGTACAAGTGATTGCATTTGATACATAAGATACAATTTATATGTATGTTTATATGTTATAGATTAATAAGTAAAAAAATAATAAATACATTTGATATTATAACGAATTGTTAATATATATCTTTAAATAAATAAAAAAAATTTACTTTTAGCATCTTTAATTAGCAATAACTAGTTTTCTTTTACTGTTTTGTACAGCATCATATAAAAAATATGATAATAAGAAATCCCATACATACGTAGAAATTAGAACTCACATCGAGCTTGATTACGTGGTTGATAGTCTAACCGGACACTTATTTGATGTAGTGAAAGTAAATTGCCATCAAGCAATAATTCAATTTAGTTTCAATTAATTCAATTATAATTTACAAAAATTTTTTGAAGGAACATATCGATTTTTTTGTAGACTGTTGGCATTAGTGTTCTAAATCAAATATTCACAGAAGCGATAGAGATGGATTCAGCTTTTTCTATTCTGAAATTCGATGGAATCTTAGGAATGGGTTATCCCGCAATATCTATAAAATTTTCACAACATGATTGAACAAGGCCTAGTGTTGGCATCTGTTTTTAGTTTTTATTTAAATTAGCATGTACGTGTCTTTCTTCTACGCATGTTTAAAAATACTTTTTACTTAAAGACGTTTAAAATATGTTAAAAATAAGTTTGTCTTACTATATAACAAAATTTTTGTCTTTTTAATATGGAGAAACAATATTGTTTAATATTAAAAAATATAGAAAATTTCCTAATAAATTGATATGGGGTGATTCCGATCCCGCTTATTATCATGGCACATTAACGTATGTCAATATAACCATGAAAGGATACTGGCAATTTACTATGGATCAGTAATCATTTTTAAATTACATACATATATGAGCTACAAATTATATACCAGTTAATTGTTAATGCTGTAGGATTATAATGAATTATGATACAACTTTATGTGTGGCTGTGAAGCTATCGTTCACACTGATTCCTGGGATATCCAGCATCAGAAATCGCAGTTATTAACAAACAGAACATTTTATCGTGGTGAATAAACAATTGTAATTAGATGATTTTTGCAATAGCAGCTCTTTTTTAATAATATTAAATAAATTATTGGAATATACAATAATAAATGCTGGATTTATTACTGATTACAAAAGTATAGATTATTAACACTAATCTTTGTTTAAAGGTGGACTATAACGACATTCATAATTTGCCCCACATATATTTCGTCCTAGATGGTCAAATATTTTATTTTCTGGTGAAGATTATATCAACGTGAAAACAGTAAAATAAAGCCAAATAAAGTTTTAAGGCTTATAATCCTTTATAAAAAAAATTTCAGATTAATAATGTTGGAAGCGACAAACTACAAGAAATTTCTTGCAAAATGTATTAAATTATACGCATTTCTGAAGATAATAATTTTTGCAGTTAATGAAAAAACTTGATAAAATATTTTCTTGACAAAATACAAAAACTTTTCTTTCATTTTAAAATAAAAAATTATATTTCTCTTAGTTCGGCAGCTGTCATATATCTTATTTCGTTTTCTGATTATAATTCCACTTCAATTATTTCAATAATGGTTATTTATGTTACTGGAACACATAAAAAGTTTTAAGTATATTTTACAAATGATAGATTACAATGTATATTAAAAAAATACAATTTAATATAATTTGTGTTTCTTTAAATATTTTTCTCGCTTCTGATGTCATAATCTAAAATAGTAATGAATAGCAAAAAGTTAAATCGGTTTAGAATAGAAACATCATACCATATTCACTTTGTTATAGCTCGATGAGAATAGTATGTTATGTACAAGCGTCTTCATGAATTCGAAGAAAGAGAATATTTGGGTTTCGGGCGTTCCGTTTTTAATTAGATTTGAGTTCGACATGGGAAACGACCGAATGAGATTTGCGCATGCAAAATAAGTATTGTTTTCTCAAGAGATTGCTTTAAATGCTAGAAGATTTATTAAATGATAAGTAAATAATTAAGTCCCATAATCATCTTGGAATCTTTCTATAAAACATTGATCCAAGAATCTCATGCTTATTGTACTTTTTATTCAGGATTACTCAAATGTTAATTATGTTCTTAGATAAATGCATAATATATTTTAAAAAATTAAAATGAACATGTAAACGACATTATTGTTATCAATTTATTACTTTATATAGCTCATTATTTCAGCATAATATTGCATTGTCACACGAATTATAAATATAATTTGATCTGTTATTTTCAATATTTTTCTTTTTTTTTAATAAAATATAAAAATATGTAGGTGTACAAATAAGTTTTAAAGCGTTTTTAATGAAATTTAATATTTATTTATTTAGAAACGAAAACACACTTAATTATCAAAATAATCTTCATCATTATCTATGACCTTTAGCCATCTTTCGGGCAGCTTGCGAATTCCAGAAGCGAAGAAGGTTTCGTCTTTCGATGCGATAAAATTATCCACCCATTTTCGCACTTCTTCAAATGCTCGAAAGTGTACACCGAACAAGGCATTTTGCATTGACCGGAATAAATGATAATCAGAAGGGGCTATGTCTGGGCTATACGCCGAGTACGTCAGAACTTCCCAACCAAGAGCTAGCAACGTTTCTTTTATAGGTTTACCAACATGAGGCCTAGCGTTGTCATGAAGCAATTTCACAGGACGTTTTCCTTTGCCAGTAAATGGACGATTTCGTCCGATTTATTGATTTAAACGGATCAATTGTTGCAAGTTCGTTTTGTGTTTGACATGAGTTTTGATCGATTAATGCTTGCAATTCATTGTTTGTAACCTTCTAAGGAGCACCACTACGTTCTCTATCGCTAACATCAAAATCATCCTCTTTAAATCGCCTAAACCAAAACTCACATGTACTTTTGGATACAACATTGATTCCAAGAACAGAACAAATTGATTCACATGCTTTAGCAGCGCTTTTTCCTTGATGAAATTCGTATCGAATGAATGTCGAATAAATTGCTTGTCGCTCGCCATTTTAAAACCATTTAATTTTGAGGTTAAGTTTCCAATTTTGTGAAGTCAATTATGTTTTTTAATAGTACACATTAAGCGCCACTACATATCAAAAGAGCGCGAAAATATTTGAATTCTAAGTTTAAATTATACATTACACAAAAAACGCTTTAAAACTTATTTGTATACCTATATGTATTTTCTTCATGCCATCTCTGCATTTGTAAACTTATTTAAAGCAATAAACTGTTTTAAGTCATAGTTAATGTTATAGATTACATCTTATGTTTTCAGGAAATGTTTTCAGGATAATTTTAATATAATAATAATATATTTACAAAATATAATTTTGTGCATTTAAATAATTTTAAAAAATTATAAATTGTTTTTGAATAAGTTATTTAAACTGCAATAAAATAATAAATGTAAAATATATTGATCATGGTAAGAGAGCCGGATTTCTGCGGACACTTCACTATCATTTATCTCTTCATTATCCAAATTTGTAAGTGCATAAAATATGTACCTATCGATTTGACGTCATTTAAAAAAAAATTTTATTTTACATGTTCGATCTATACGCACTTGCATATGTCGCATATATATTTGCATTCGAATTATTTCTTTTTTCTTTACTTCCTTTTAAATATCGACAATTATTTCAATTATTCATTTTTTTCCACACTTTTAATTAACTAGTTAATTGAGTTGAATTTGAAAAACTATTATAGTTTCTTAATCTCTTTCTCTTTCATCAGATGTCTCATCGCCCAGTGAGAATAATAAAAAATTTATTATACAAAAATATAGATCGTAATACTCAACCGCATCAAATTAATAAATTAAAAAAAAATGTCGAGTTAGATTTATAGGAATGATTCACTGACATCAGTTAGATGACATCAGTTAAAATATGCATTTCAAAGGTGATAGCGACATTAATAGCTTTCAATAATCATAACTTAATTTTAACATCAGATTCAGCAATGCTGAAAATCTTTATAAGAACTAACTTCATCGCGCGAGATAGATGAAAAACAACTTTTTAAATAATTCAACTTCTGATAACATAAAAATAATTTTATAACATTATTATAAGATATTATAACATAATTATAATATAATATAACATTTCAGGAAGCCTTATTTAAAAATCAGATTCTACCATTTTCTTTGAAATTTTTGACATATAAATTAAAAAATATTTGTCTTAATCGTTCAAGAACTACAGTATTATAACGATTCTTTAATAATAAATTTTGATTTGTCCCGCTAACAAGGCAAAAAAAAATAAAATATCGATGTATAAAATTAAATGCTGAGGATGGCTAAAAATGATCTGAAACATTAAATTATGTAATTATATAAAACAAATATATAAAACAAATATATTGTTTTTAGATAAATTTTAATACATTGTATACCGCTCAATCGCTTTCACTATTTTCATTATTTGATATACTATTCTTTGGTAAACTAACAAGATGAAAATAATACATAAATTTAAAATTAATAATTTTTTTTCGATGTATCTAAAACATTGAATCGCGAAATGTATAAGAAGTATGCTTAAACGCAAAATGATTTTTTAAAAGTTTTAGAGATTAGTTAATAAAAGGAACCAAAATCATTTTCAAAAAGCTCTGCCGGTTTAGTTGTCCTTTTTATCATTCACTCTTAAACACAGTTATGTATATAAGCCCGTATGTATATAAACAGCATTGGGAACGTTAATGATTGACTCTTGTATTCTGTTATGTGATCTATGTATGAACTGATTTGAAGAGGAGTTACAACGCTTCTAAAACGTTCTTGATACTTGATACGTAGTTCTAATTACTTCGAGAAACATGTTTCGATCATTAGTATTAATCGTGGCACTCATCGAATTGATCAATTCGGCATTGTTAAGGTGAGATAGTGAAAATGTTGATTCGTGACAAATATTTCAACGATAATTAGAACAAAACTGTTGAAAAATGTTTTTGGATGTAATCTTTTGAAAAAAGCTTTTGAGTATTTAAAGATCGGAATTTTATTATCTTTATGTCTTAGGTGAGATGAACATCATGGAAACTGAAATTCGCATTTAAAATATGTAAACATTATTTAAATGCGTAAATAGATTAAAGTTAATTGCATTAATTACTTAGTACTGATGTTGAGACATAAATAATATTTAAATATGAGAGGAAATTAAATTAAAAATTAAATTATTTTGTTCGAAATTCGAATGTTGTGCGATCTTTGTGGAATTATGAAATGTATAGGTGTGTGTGTGTGTGTGTGTGTGTGTGTGTATGTGTGTACACAATATGTAATATAATGGTATCTTTTGTGTTATATTTCACAATTACACGAAGATATAAATATGGTACAACATATGAATTTCGGATAAATTAAGTAATTATTTAAAATTTAATTTCTTCTTATTTTTGGATTATTTATGCTTCAACATTTCCGTTTCCATGATACTTTATCTCACTTAAGACATACGTATACATACATATATATATATATATATATATATACATATATATATATATATATATGTAACATAATGGATTTCTTATGTGTTTCTTCAAGAATTCCATTATATAGGACAAGCTATATTCGAAAATGGATTTCCATTGAAGGTCGACGATATAATTTGACTGATTTACCAAAGGCACGACTGTTTTATTTATATGATAAACAATACTATGGCATTATCTCAGTTGGAACCCCACCGCAAATATTTAACATTCATTTCGACACTGGTTCCTCTAATTTTTTTTTACCATCCATCAACTGTTACACTGATAATATTCAATGCTGTATGTAAATCATAATGTAACATTTCTTCGATTATTTTATTTACTTTTACATTTATACTATTATACTTATATTTTATGTTATTTATATTTATACTTATATACGAGCATATTTATATTTAATAATATTACTATTACATATGTAGAAATGATATCAATTGCTTTTTTATTTTAATGACTGACTTTAAGTAAAAATTTAGGTTACAAATGTAATCTATATATTTCAAGTATAATTTTTCAAGTATAATTTTTATGATGTGATTTGAAATTTAATAATATAAAAATTAAAATAATTATGAAGGTAAATATTACGAAATTAAATTTTACAATCATATGTTGTTTATTTTATTTATCGTGCTAACTTTAAATGTATAAATGATTATCTTTGATATAATTCATATGTTAAAGCAAAGAAATAATAAATGTTCTCGTTCTTATAACGATTGTTAAAATATACATCTTTAAATTAATAAACAGAAATTTATTTTTAGCATATTTAACAACAACTGATTTTCTGTTATTATTTTATATAGCATCAGTTAGAAGATATAATAACAGTGAATCCTACACATACATGGAAATTGGTAATTATGTCAAATTTCGTTACGCGGTTGGTGGGCTAACTGGATATTTATCTAGTGATGTAGTGAATGTAGGTGGTCGTCAACAACAACCAATTCGATTTAATCTCAAATATAATTTATAAAAACTTTTTGAACTTACATATCACCGTTTTATAGATTGCTGGCGTTAATGTTCAAAATCAAATATTCACACAAGCGATAACACGGGATCTGACTTTTGCCTATCTGTCATACGATGGAATCTTAGGAATGGGTTACCCAGAGATATCTACAAAAGGAGTGCCTCCTGTTTTCACCACCATGATTGAACAAGGCCTAGTGTCGGCACCTGTTTTTAGTTTTTATCTGAATCGGCATGTACCTCTTTTTTATGTCTAAAAATATTCTTTCAACAGTTCGTTTTATTATAATACAAAATTATTTTTTTAATAAACAATATTTTAATATGAAAAAAAATAAAATTTGTACAGAAATTATTATTACGGTAGTGAACTGATATTGGGTGGTATCGATCCTCTTTATTCTAACACCGAGTTCACTTATGTTAATGTATCTCACAAAGGATACTGGCAATTTCCCATAGATAAGTACGTTATTATTTTTTAAACTACATATACATATAGCTAACGGATGATATAATTAATTGTTAATGCTGTAGGATAAAAATGAGACATATGGTTTTCTGTGACGATGGCTGTGAAGCTATCGCTCACACTGGCTTTTCGGGGCTATCTGGACCAGCATCAGAAATCGAATTTATTAACAACGAAGTTGATACATTAAGACGAGTTGGAATTTCTCATGGAGATACACTTGTAAATAAATGATAAATTTTCCAATGGCAGCTCTCTTTTAATGATACTGACTAAATTACTAAAATAAATTAATAAATGTCTGATTTGTTCTCATTGAAATATGGTTTATTAATACTAAGCTTTTTATTTATAATATTGGTTTTATTAATCTGGACTACTAGTAGGTATTAAATTTTGTTTAAAGGTGGACTGCCATGAGATTTCTAAATTGCCCAATGTTACTTTCTTTTTGAATAATAAACCATTCGTACTCACTGCAAAAGATTACATCAATACGAGAACGGTAAATATCATTAAATAAAGGTTTAAAATACCTAATAATTCACCATGAATCTTTAGATTAACTGTTTCAGAAGCGATAAAGTACATAAGAATTCTTACAAAATATATTAAATTGGATGTATATTCTTCAAGATAATATTTTTGCATTAAATAGAATACACTTGAAAAAGAATATACTGACTTTCTCGCAAATCATACAGTTAATTTTGTTTTCTGGGGTTATAATTCAATTCATAATTAATAATTTAATAATTGAATAATTTTATATTAATAATTTTTATAAGATTATTTATTGATTTTACTGTAACACGTAGAGAGGTTTGTGTATATTTTACAAATGTGTCGAATATGCAATATTGTTAAATTACATTTAGAAATGTATTTTAATGTAATATAGAATACTTTTTAAAATATTAGATGTAGTAAAAAGAAATTCATTATTTTTCCAATAGATGACTTTAGTTATCTGTATCACGCATAAACGAGATACAGATTACTTAAGCCATCTATTGAAAGAATAATGTATTTCTTTTTACTATACCTAATATATTTTCTCGCTTTTGATTTTTTAATATAAGATGGTAATGAATAGAGCTATAAATTATTTTGAAATGAATAATCAAACTATGTTCAATATGTTGTAGCTCTATATGAACAAGTACAACCGTACGTTATGTACAAGCTATTTCGTAAATTCCAAGGATTATTTTAGTTTAAATGATATTTGGATTTTGGGTATTCCATTTTTTAATCGGTTTTATACTGTGTTCGACATGGGGAACAACCGAGTGGGATTTGCGCATGCAAAATAAGTATTGTTTTCTCAAGAGATTATTTTAAATGCTAGAAGATTATAAGAAATAATGAGCGAATTATTTTGTCTTGCGAAGTCTTTTTTTAAATTTTTTTTTGGCTCTTAATTCTTATATTTATGGCGTTGATATTTTTATTTGGAGTAATTTAAGCGTTAACTTCATTCTTGATACAAGCGTATAATTAATAAAATTATGATGAAGATTTGCTATCAACGATTAATATAACCCATTCTTCCAACATGTCATATTATCATGCAATATAAATATAATTTTGTTAATCTTAATATCTTTTTCATGTTTATTAAAATGTAAAAGTTATATGTATTTTTCAATGCGGACTCTGCGTTTGTAAACTTATCTAAAATCTAAAGCAATAAATTCGATTGTAATTAATGTTATCGAATATCTTACGTAGGAAATGATAATAATACATATTTTTTAAAATAATTTTGCTTTATTAAGATTATATATTATAACTAAATAATATGTTTAAACTTAAGGAATGAATAGAATATATTGACTATAAAAATTGCTATTTCTGTAGACAATTTTATTCATCTCTTCATTATCTCACTTATTTTATAAGTACATAAAATTTACTTACAAAATAAAATAAATTATTTATATCGGTGGGTTACATGATGATATAAATAATATTTCCGATATATATATCAACCACATTTGTAATATACGATCTTTCAAATACAATTTGGAAGTATTATAGTGTATATCTTTTATCTGCGTCACTTTCATATCGGTTTGATGATTTCTTTTTCTTTATTCTTATTTTTACATGTACATTCGGTAGTGTACAGCTCATAATTGCTTTCCAGTTGTTTTTTTTTTACTTATCGATTGTTCACTGTTATTTTCGGGTAATTCATTTTTTTCGCATTTACTTCTTTTAGATTTGTATAGTACCTTGTATAGTTTATCTTACATAATTTAAATTTTAAAGTTATATATTTTAATATATTATGCGAGACTCTTGAGTGAATATGAATTTATAGACTCAATTCTTTAGGTTATACCAAGGAATAAATTACTGTGGGCATTGTAATGTATAGATTTGGGTCATTACTGAACATTTTTTAAGAGAATAGTGTATTATAATAACCGATGTTAGGTTATATTATTATTGATCAAAACATTAATGGGCATAAAAAGTTCGATATTACGTGGTCATAACTTGGGCATTATTGGTACAAGACATTGATGTACAATGGTTTGATCAGAGGTTTGTCCTTTAGTTACATCGTTTTATTTTTCAAAATTCAATTTCTAATATCGTATTGTAGAATAAAATATATTCCACAATTATCGTTTCAACCAGTGATTTAACTGATTTGTGTTTGAAGGACTCTTCTATTTTTTCACTTGTTCCTTCGTTGGGGATCACATTTTATACCGATGAATAAGGTTGAATATTGATGAAAATAGCCCAATCGAGCCAAATCATTTAATTCTGTAATAATATTCGTCAAATTATATATGGTTTTTAGATACATTTTTGCGTATTGTTTAGGGTATTGATTTTCAATTGCTCTCATTATTCTAGTCCCAGGTTTCTGTGTCATTTATTGTATCATTTATTCTGTATCATTAATTGTAAGCTTATGCTATCAAGACAAAAGATGCATATTTTAAAGATTAATACGTGGATGATTTAAATATAAACGAGAATTTTTTCTTATTATTTATTGGAGAGAATAAAGATATAAAGAAACAAATTACCTCTATATAGTACTCTGCTACATAAATATATTTTTACCAGAGGATAAGCAATTTGGCGATCCCGTTTTCATTAAAAATAGTAGATTGTGTCTACAACTAAATGCGCAAGAATTCTTCTCCACTGGTACCGTTCACGAATCGTATTGTCCTCCCAATTCTTCTCTCAGTAGTAACAAACAAGTAATAATTGTATGGAAAGATTTGTCTCAATGGGAATATCATGTTTGAGCCGCTAAAATAATAGGGAGGATGCCCATTATTTTAAGGCAATAGGACAATGCCAGTATAGAGGAATTCGTGCGCAATTAGCTACAGACACAACCTACTACTTTTTATAAATAGGGGATCGCTAAACTGTCTATTCGCTGGAAAGAATATATCAAATTGCAGGGAACTATGTAGCAAAGTAGTTTGTTTTTTTTCATATTTTTTTATATTTTATTCTCTTTCTTATCTATTAAATATTAAAAAAAGAAATTCTCGTTTATATTTGATCCACCCTCATTTTTATTAATCAAATTTATTTAAATACATTGAATCATGCGTAAATATGAGTGTGGACAAATGCGAACTGCATTTTTTTAAAAATTTATTTGAGACTTGTTTAACAAAAAGTACTAAAGTCACTTTTGGAATGTTTCGTCCGTTTCGTCCTTTTCGTCCCTTCCCGACATATAAATTCGTATATAAATGACATTAAGAACGCTAATTGACTTCATTATGGTTTGTTGTGCATCGTAATTATGAATTGATTTGAAAAGGAGTCCTAACATTTCTGAAATCTTCTTAGATTTAATCGTCAGAAAATTCGGGAAACATATTTCGATTGTTCCTTGCAGTTGCCGCACTCATCGTGCTGATCAATTCGTAATTGCACAGGTGAGCACGAGTAAAGGTTGAGTCACAATAAATACTTCAATCATAATTAATATAAAGTTATACTTTGTGTTAGAGTAATGTGATCAGATAAAAACATGCTCCAAACTTCTTTGAGACTTGCAATTTATTTTTCTTTACATCTTAAGTGAAATATGTGAACGGAAAAGTTCGAATCTAAAATATATAACGTTATTTGATAGGCAGGGTTTTGTTTGCTTACAAAACGATTGCCTAGCTTCAATTGCACACAGCATATTACACACACGACAATATTGTACACAGCGTATTGCATACACTACAGTATTGCACACATGATGCTATTGGTTTAGTTTACATCGTACACTTGAGACGCGTATTAACTAGTAATTTTCTATCAAATTATTTCAATTTTTATTGGAATGCATTTAATGATGTATCGAATTAGTACAATATTTTGTCTCAATCTATAAAAATTTTCTTAAAGACATAAATACATTTTGATAAGTTGTTGATTTTAATATTTTAAATCAAATATTCGAAAATCATTCTTTGCTGGGCAATTTTTCATAAAGAATGAAATATATAGACTGTATGTTTTTTAAAATTATGTATAATAAAAAAATGAGTATTAATTATAGAAAATATGTCATCTGAAAAAAAGCGAAAATTTAAAATTCTATTGTTTGTATGCTCAAAAAGTAAAGTTGAGATATTTTGTTTCTAAAATCAGGAATTTGTATGAGAAGCTCGTTTTTTTAATAGAACAGTATGTATTTATTGTATAAAATTGCTAATTAATGATTATAATTATTATTAATGTATGTTAATATTATATATCCCATAAAGGATATTGGCAATTTACTATTGACAAGTATGATATTATTTTCTAAATTATGGACACATCATTTGTGGATTATAAATAAAATAATTATTGATCATGTCGCTATAGGATTCAAGTGGAAAATAAAACCTAATGTGCAAGTTTTGTCGAGCTAACTTCTGGCAATATAGAAATAATTTCCAGATAATTTCAAATCATTTTCAAAAAGCTCTGCCGATTTTGTTGTCCTTTTTATCATTCCTAAACACAGTTACGTATATAAGCGCGTAAACAGCATTGGGTACGCTAATGATTGACCTTTCTCTTGTATTCTGTTATATGATCTATGTATGAACTGATTTGAAGAGGAGTTACAACGCTTCTAAAACGTTCTTGATACTTGATACGTAGTTCTAATTACTTCGAGAAACATGTTTCGATCATTAGTATTAATCGTGGCACTCATCGAATTGATCAATTCGGCATTGTTAAGGTGAGATAGTGAAAATGTTGATTCGTGACAAATATTTCAACGATAATTAGAACAAAACTGTTGAAAAATGTTTTTGGATGTAATCTTTTGAAAAAAGCTTTTGAATATTTAAAGATCGGAATTTTATTATCTTTCTGTCTTAGATGAGATGAACATCATGGAAAGTGAAATTCGCATTTAAAATATGTAAACATCTAATCTATTTACGCATTTAAATAATGTTTACATAACATTACAATCCGAAGCGCCACTACGGTCTAAGTATTAAGATATTGAACTAATATATAATATATATTATTCAAACGAATAAATTAACCTCAGAAATAATAATTACGTGTCGATATGGTTGTCGACATTAACGCAATTAATCTGAAATGTAATAATCCCCCCAAAAAGTTTATTACAGTGTCTTAAAACACTGTAATAAACTTTTTGGGGGGATTATTACATTTCAGATTAATTGCGTTAATGTCGACAACCATATCGACACGTAATTATTATTTCTGAGGTTAATTTATTCGTTTGAATAATATATATTATATATTAGTTCAATATCTTAATACTTAGACCGTAGTGGCGCTTCGGATTGTAATGTTATGTAAACATTATTTAAATGCGTAAATAGATTAGAGTTAATTGCATTAATTACTTAGTACTGAAATGTTGAGACGTAAATAATATTTAAATGTAAGAGGAAATTAAATTAAAAATTAAATTATTTTGTTCGAAATTCGAATGTTGTGCGATCTTTGTGGCATTATGAA